CAGCCGATCGGGTCACTATTAAAACATTTTCCTCAGACCCCTGAGTTTCCCAGTGCCCTTCTTTCCTACATAAGTAGGTGCTTCCATTGAACATTTCTTTCATTTGAAGCATCAAATTCCACGTGGGTCCTTGATCTCTCGGTTCCCATTCCAGTGCTTATAATAGTCTCTCTCATAGAGTATCACACCCCATATCCCACGTTCTGACATCATCACAGCCTTGAAGTCTAGAGCCTTCCTTTCTTCTAAAGTCCACCATCCTTTTCTCTCTGATCTTAAATTTCCCAGATTTCCAAGATATCCGTGGCTTTCTTATCGGTGACCAGTGACATGTTTAACCAGAAGGATAAGCTCACCAACTAGATTGGAAGAGGATAGGATATGGGAAGTTGTAAAATTCACAAGTGTGCAGAGGGCAGTGGGGGAGTGGGGCCTGGAGGTGGGGGAACATGAGGGGATCATCAGTCCCAGGAAGGGATTGGTCAGAGGACATGGAGATCTGAAGCAGTGGAGGATGGAAGACTCTGGGTTTGCCTGGCTTTAGTCCACTCACCTGCTACATCACCTTTGGCAAAATGCTACCATTTAGAATCCTGACTCTTTTCAACTGAAACCAAAAGGTCTGTATTAGATGTCCCCTAAGGTCCCCTTCAGTCTTCAAGTCTCTACTCTTGAGTGTCCTGATGGAAGGAACTCTCTTGTCTTTTTCTGTCCCAGGATCCCCCTTCTCCCAGGATGACTTCCTGATTTCCATCCTGCCATCCCTCAAGGAAATTGACACCATGGTCTCCATTTTTACCCTAAATGGTGAGCAGGAGGATGGGAATGGTGGGGTGGTTTAGAAGAGCTGCCATTTTTCTGAGTCTCAGGGTGCCTTGTCAGAGGGAGAGTGTCTTAGGGAATCCTATTGTCACGATAAGACACTATGACCAGAAGCAACTTGGGGAAGGAAGGGTTTATTTCATTTTACAGTATATAAGTCTATAACAGAGGGAAGTTAGGGCAGGAATCGAAGCAGAAGCCATGGGCAAGTGCAACTCAACTGTTATTCCCCAGGGCTTGCCAGTCTGCTTTCTTATGGCACTCAGGACCACCAGCCCAGGGGTGGCACCCCCCACTGTGAACTGGGCCCATCAATCAATCAAGAAAATGCACTACAGGCTTGCCTACAGGCCGGTCTTGTGGGGGCATTTTCTCACTAGGAGTTCCCTTTTGCCAAATGATTATGGCTTGTGTCAAGTTGACATAAAACTATCCAGCACTGAGGGACCAAATGAGTGTTCTATCAGGACCCTGGAGTGGCAGGAAGAACCATTTCATAGCCCAGCCTTTTAACTCCAATGTCTCCTATCCCATCCAGATAATCTCACAGAAGTACAGGCCCTGGTTGAAAGGATGAGGGAGAAGAGCCAGAACATCCAGGCCCTGGTGCACAGCACTGTGGGGCAGTCCTTGCCAGTGAGTGTCCGGCACTGGGGAGAAGACCTAGGCGTAGTACAGCCAGGCCTTCTGGAACAAACTGCTCTGTTCATCTTTCTCCTCAGGCCCTGCTAAAGAAACTCTTTCCCTCGCTCATCAGCATCACATGGCCACTTCTTTTCTTCGATTACAAAGGGAGCTACGTTCAGGTAGGCGGGCATGAGAAGGCAATGTTTCCTAAGAAGGAGAGGAGTACAAAGCCCCCAGAGCCATATGGATGGGGGAAGCCTGAATATTTGTTTAGTCTTCCCCCCTCCCCAAGCTGGGTACATACTCCATTTTTCAGGTCTCTAAAGAGAGTTGCCAAGGCAACAGGGTTCGATTCTTTCTAGGAATATACAGAAAGGGCAAGACAGGCCAATGGTTACACACTCAATGTTTTTTTGGGACAGGTTCATTGTTGACATTGAAGTCATTCTCACCACCCAAAAGCTTTTAAGGCTCTTTCTTTTGCGTGGCACACTATGCTGAACATAACCCAGATATTACCCCGATGGAGTCCTCCCTCAATAGTGAAATTACAATCCGGGAGATGCAGTGAGAGGAACCATAGAAATACTGAGCAGTTTGTACGCACTTTGCAGTTGGGTTTGGAGTGCTCACCAGGAACTCTAGGTGTCAGTCCAGCTCGTGTGGCCCAAGAAAGAAAATAAATTTTTATCTCTATACTTTACTGTTCTCACACAGGACCTGCCTGCCCTCCACAGGGCAGAAGCAGGGCCCAGAACGGGTCTGGGGGAGGTGTGGTCTTTCATCATTATTCAAACTGCTTCCTTCTGGAAGCTTCTAGAC